TCTCAGGTAGAGGACGACTACAAGTCCACATATAAGTCATACATCACAGAGGTGAAATTCTCAGGAGAGGACGACTACAAAGGTCCACCTATATAGTGACGCATTTCATAGGTACCCTCCGAGGAGTACTAACCACCTAGGTCCACCTATAGGTCACAAATAGGTTCCGACACACACTTCGACACGACAGGAGATATGAAGTGAGACACTACATACTGATATACACCTGAACATCAGCAGGAGAGGACTCTTTAAAGTAGAGACACTACATACTGATATACACCTGAACATCAGCAGGAGAGGACTCTTTAAAGTGGAGACACTACATACTGATATACACCTGAACATCAGCAGGAGAGGACTCTTTAAAGCCAAGGCAGTAGCACTTCAAATGGTCGAAAGCTAATGAACTTGCAGGATGTTTGTCATTATAGTTTGTGTCTTCATGGCTGATTGCACCTATTGTCACTTTGGATGAAAAATAAATCATGTAATCTAAATTCATGGATCAAATTCGACAGCCCTATCCTGCATGCCTCTTAATATTTCCCAATCTCCTCTGATGTCACGTCTGAGCTCCTCTCCACCTTACCCGTCATAGAGCAGCGTCCACACAGATTGTCTGGACGCAGGATAGGCGAAGCAGTCCCTCACTCGTAGGGAAAGAGTTGGGTCTAGTGACGGCTGGGCGATGGAGATCTCCACGTACAGAATTTTGCGCAGCGGAAAGGACACAGGAAGCTGGTCGTCAGGGAAGAAGGATGTGAAGGAAGCATCTAGAGGAGCACATAGTCACAAACAGTCATGAAGGTTTAGTTCAATGCATTTCCTTTTTTTTTTTTTTTTTTTAAATGGGTTTTTTCAACAGCATACAGTTATTCTATCAGAGCATGTATCAAAAGTAGGTAAACAAATCTACACTTTAAAGAAAGATAGGTAGAGTAACAATGTAAATACTGCTTAACACCTGAGCAAACTAAATCCCACCCAGACAGAAGACAAACAAAAACAGATTAACAACAAATAAATAAATAGAAAACCAGTCAGTTAAAACAAAGATGTCAATAATAAACAATAACTGTCAGTACGACGGCACCTCCTCCCCACGACAACCCGTCCAGTGTTGGGACCCCTCCAAAATACAAAAGTTGAATCAGGAATGCTCAATGCATTTCCATACTGGACATTGTTACCTTTGGCTATCCTCATCTGCACTCCGATGGTTCCCAGTCCGACCACAGTGGGGGGGTTGGTCACCGGAAACAAGGAGCGAAACCCATCTGCACGCTTCAGATCTGAGGCGTCGTACTCGCACTGCACCTGGAGACTGAAAGTACCAGAAAAATCAAAACAGGAAAACTTTACTTACACTAAATCATGGGAAGATTGTGAGGCAATGAGCTTATACTAAAAAGCCACACAGACGTAATAGTTGTTTCACCTCTTATAGTTGTCGTTAGCCCAATATCACAAAGCATGCCTCTGTGGTTATTTCCCCTTTTAGTAGTGGTTTTAAGTCTCTTTGTGGTTGTTTTGACCATTTTCTTAATTGTTTTATGTTTTTTTTCCAAGTCTTTTTCAGTTTGTATCACTCTCTTTGTTGCCTCGAGTCTCTGTGGATTTTATTTTCCCCCTTCATAATCTTTATGAGTCTCTGTTAGCAGTTTTGCATTGGTTTATTTGTAGTCTTTTTAATGTCCCTTTGTAGTCCAATCATGTTTCTTCATGGTGATTTTGAGTGTCTTCCTGACAAGAGAAGAGAACATGTTTCCATCAGCCTAACAGTAGTGTGCAGAAGATGTTCAAAACAAACCTCACCTAAATGGAGAATGATTGATTGTACTTTTCGTGTGCAGCTCTTCCACTTCCACCTCATAGATTGTCACATCTGCTTCCACCTAAACGCCAAGCAGAGAAGAAAGGATACAGACTCAAGCAAAAACAAACTTCTCCAACCCAAATGCAAATGTCATGCAACATAATCCAAATTAGAACCGAGAAAAGTCTGCTATGTTAATGCTGCTAATTCTAGATATCTTAAGATGGAATCAAACGGAAGCATTACCCTTAACTTTGCCCCACACTCCGTGAGTCTGATCTTGAAGACAGCTGTATCTGGTGTGGTGATCACAGGGTAACACTGAGGCTGGTCCTTCACTATGAGGCGGCTGGGGTCAAAGGTCTTCTTTGTGTCTGAGGCCGTCACGGAGAAGACAAAGTGTCCGTCCACAGAGCAGGCTGAGGGACACAGGGACAGCTTTACAAACAAGCATGCAGAGGTGGGAAGTAGTGGAGTACAAATACTTCATTACTGTACTTAACTAAATGTTTCTGGTATCAGTACTTTACTCCACTACTTATTCTTATAATGACTTTTTACTTTGACTTCTTACATTTTGAACCCAAATACCTGTACTTTCTACTTCTTACATGTTGAACACAAATACCTGTACTTTCTACTTCTTACATGTTGAACTCAAATACATGTACTTTCTACTTCTTACATGTTGAATCCAAATACCTGTACTTTCTACTTCTTACATGTTGAACACAAATACCTGTACTTTCTACTTCTCACATGATGAACTCAAATACCTGTACTTTCTACTTCTCATATTTTCCAAACAGGCTGGTTCCTTTAGTTTGAATGTGTGTTTGGTGGCGTGATCATTATTATTTAGAGTCATTGCGTGCCTATTGATTTGAACACGATCCGTGTATCCATCATTTCCTGGTCTTCTCTAAAGAAGAGGGACCAATGAAAACGTTTTCATGTTGCCGTTGTTCAGCATGGAAACATTCATTAGCTAACAATGACATTATTGTTCTATTAATATAAAGGGAGGTCAGGTACTCTTTAAAACAGCTGCTAGTTATGGGTACTTTTTACTGAAGTACATTTCAAAGCCTCTTTACTTTGACTTGAGTAAAGAAGTTTAGTCAGTACTTCTACCAGAGTATTTATAAACAGGAGTATCTGTACTTCTACTTGAGTAAAGGTGTGTACTTTTGCCATCTCTGCAAGCATGGTCAACATATGGACTTATTTGGTGGGAAAAGACACCATTATTAATCCTCATGAACAGCACTTCACTTGTACAAATGGCCACCTTACCATTGAGTCTGTAGTAGCAGGTTACATCTTTAGCGTCGTAGCAGCATCCCTGTTTGATGCAGGCCTCTCTAGAGATGCTTTGGTAACCACAGTCCACTCTGAGAGCTCGTTCTGTGGCACAGTCTCCAGGGAAAGCTAGAGGAGAGGATGCATTAGTGTCTGAATCTGGCACAGTGAATGGTGTCATGCTAAAAAGCCAGGCTAAGACCAGGATTCAACGGGAAATGTGTGGATTTAAGTGATAGAAACAGATGAAAAATGAAGGCTGACTTCACTTATAGAAAATATAACTGTGTCAATATGATTGTTACACTCATCAGCTGTCTCCACTCACACTCTGGGATGCGTTTGGACCTCTCGCTGTGTCTCTTTATCAGAGGACAGCTGATGGTTGCATTGAACCACCCGTCCTCTCCTGTTAGCTGAACGTTCAGAGGGACGATGACTCTGTTGCCCTGAGGATCAAAAGTCATGTCAATGTTTACGTTAAGAAGCTATGTACACATGTTGTGTTATATGCCCACACAAACACATCGTGCATGATCTCTTTGTAGGTTGTGTCTCTTTGTAGTCGTTTTGAGTCTCTTTGTGATTGTCTGTGACTTTAAATGTCCTATTTCCTGTACATTTTTAAGTCGACATAAGGGTAATATACAAATGCACTATGGAAGATGATTAGAGGCACTTAAACATTTTAAAAATTAAGAACAAAGCCAGAAATCGGACTGAGAACTCGGATAGATTTTTCACATTATGTAGCCCTAATCCTCATCCATAGTGCATGTGTATATTCCTTCTTTTGTAGACCTCTCAATATATAGAAAATAGTGCACTTTGAGCTTGAAATATCCATAAATGTTTCACTATTTTTACCAATCAATAGTGTTATATTACTTGCAGATATTGTAGGAGAGACATAAGAGAAACACAACGTTGAACACATCCAAAATGCTTTTCATACAGTCCCTTATTTTACCTCAATCTGTGCATAGCAGCTGTCATATCTGCTGTAGAAGGCCAGGCTCTGGTTCCTCTCTCGGCCCAGTCTCACCCCACATGAGCCCTCAGACTCAGGCACTGGGATGGCGGCCCCCTTCTTATCTAATAAAACAACAACAGTATTGATAGACTCAATGGCGAGGGTACTTAGAAGTTAAATGATTGCCAACCATATTAACAGAGGTGGGAGAAGTACTCAGATATTGTACTTGAGTAAAAGTAGAAGTACTCAGATCTTGTACTTGAGTAAAAGTAGAAGTACTCAGATCTTGTACTTGAGTAAAAGTAGAAGTAGTCAGATCTTGTACTTGAGTAAAAGTAGAAGTACTCAGATCTTGTACTTGAGTAAACAGAGTGTAGGAATACTCTGTTACAGTAAAAGTCCTGCATTCAAAATTGTACTCAAGCAAAAGTAGAAAAGTATCAGCATCAAAATATAGTGAAAGTAGCGACAGTAAAAGTAGTCATTGTGCAGATTGGTCCATTTCAGAATAATATATATGATATGTTTTATAATGATTGATCATTAAAAAGTGTTATATATTCAAGTAACTTCACTTGAAATATAATTATAAATTATAATAATAAAGATAAGAAGATCACAAGATAGAATAAAAAAACATAACAATAATGTTAATAATACAAAATAAAGTTTAGAATGTATATTGTGTATACAAACAATTGCATATATGTTTACATATTTAAATACATTACTTAAATTCTACTTAGTTACTTTAGCACCAGACATTTTTTACGCTAATATGGACAATCTTGCACTAATGTACATTCCCAAAGTTATTGAAGTGACTATTATTTTGTATATATTGATTTTTGTGTTTTTATCTTAATGTGTGCATATGTATACATGTGTCTGTTGATTGTAGGATATACATATTTTATACATTTATGCATTTTTGTATTCGGGATTGTGGGAAACGGTATTTCGATCTCTCCGTCTGTACACACAAACTGAAAGATTGACCATAAAGTTGACTGACTGACTTACACCACTGCATTTTACGGGTGGGAAATAAGAGTCCTGCAACGTATAATGCAATCTCACCTTTAACGTGCACGTTACTCCTGACCAGAGGACCAAAAACAGCTCGGATCCTCCGATCAAAGCAGCTGACTCTGGGCACGTGCTGCTCCTCAGGTGTTTCCCTCAGCCGGATGGCGGAGGAACACCAGCAGTGCTGCGTCATCATGGCGAAAAATAATGTAATCCAACAAAGTTTTTACAGTGATTATTCATCTTCTCTGGTTTAGGTATGTTGAGTTATGCGGGTTTTAAGTCCCGGAAATATCACGTCCTTTCTCCGACGCTGGGAAGAGGTCACGTGACTTGTGTTAATTAGAGTTAATTAGTTTGAAGCTTGTTGGGTTTTCTACCAGAGCGAGAGATTCACCACGTGGAGGTATGTGCTTAATTCTATTAAAAGTTGAAATGATGTCAAAAAAGAAAATATTGCATGTCAGAAGTTAAACTTTACTCAAATAAATGTGTCTAAGAAATATGCATATTATCTTTAAAATATAGTCATATATTATTTTATTATTATTATTATTATTATTATAGTTTATACTTTCTTACAATGTGGCTTTGTTTTTCTTTATTCATTGAGAGTGTATGGGTGATTGTTTACACATTCTTTATTAAAAACAAAAAAAAGAATTAATATTGAGAAAGACAGAAAGAGCTGTTGGGGTTAAACCTGCTTTGCAAAGTAATTCATCACGAGCTGGTTATTAATAAAGAAGGTCAATGTTTAAATAATTAAATAAGATTAAATAATACACATCATGCAGTGGGGACATCTTTGGTCCTGAGGGAGTCTTTAAAGGAAATCATTGCATAACTTAAAGGTCTCGCTAACCTTACCCCATCTCCCTTTGGCAGTTCTTGTTCCCATATGATTACAACCTGTATTCACTGCTGCATTAATGAGTGTCTTTATACTCTGTCCTGACCCATCTGTGATTCCAATAAGGTTTGGAATCAATTTAATAAGCTCACATATTCAATTCCAACGTGAACCTTCCTCTAATTTATAAATCATATTGGTTAAATTTTATGGGAATAAGATGGTTTCAATCACCTCATAGACACCGTTACTCTATAATAAATTATTTCTATACGACTATGGGGATACCAGAACATTAAATATTCAGAATCAAGATTCAAAGGCTTTATTGTCAAATGCACAATAGCGTATTTTTGACAATACAATGAATCTTATGTCTAAGGCTCCTCGAACAATGCAAAGTCAAATAAACCTACAAAATGAAATAGTGCAAGAAGAAATAGGAATACAATCCTGCAAGAGAATGGTACAAGTGACACAATGGTGCAAGTAAAAGGCAGAAATATGTCAACTAAATGCATGTAAAATATAAAAACAGACATGATGAACTCCAATGGAAGTCAACACTGTTATTTGACCCTCCATCACATGTCCAGCAGTGATCTAATGGACAGTATGATGACTCGGCAGCTCCTATGATAATAGGGTTTAATCTCCACTCCACGGTCAATCACGAGTTGTGGCACCGTGTCGTGACGTAGGCCGTGACGTCAGTTTGTTGGGCTTCCCTGGTGGTCAGACTTTAGCACAGAAGCAGGAGATCAGAAAACGTCTCCAAAACATGGCTCTGAATCGGAATCACTCCCAAAACGGCGGCGTTTTGATAAACAACGGAGAAAGGTACGTGTGTTACACTCCTCGAATGATGTTTACTGAATTTATCATCTAGCTTTTGCCTCTTTTTCCTGGCTTGTTTACCTTTCTACTTTCGCAGTGCGTAGTCAACATTATGCTAGCCGGCCTGGCTAACATTAGCATAAATAGCTAACGCATTTGTTCCACTGTTGACGTTTGCGTCAGCGGTGTATGTCATGTCCGGACAATTGAAATATTTTTATTAGTGTTTGAATGCGGGCTTTACAATATTGACTGGCTTTATAGCCTCTGTATATGTTGACAGTTGGTATAGCTATTTAGCTAGAAGGCTAACTTGTTACGTTAGCCCACTACAGAACCGGAAGTAGCGTTAGCTTTCGTTTGGGTGTTGTTGACATAACAGTTATCTAATGTATTGTATAATGTGGGTTAGAGGCAGTGTTGTAATGTTATTAAGTACATTTACTCAAGTACTGTACTTGAACTGTACCACATTGAGGTACCTTTTACTTGTCTTGGATGTTGTCATACTGTGCTACTTCATACTTTCACTCCACTACATTTTTTTAAAGCATTAGTTACTTTGCAGATCTAGAATGTGAATATAAATCAAATACTTAATTAGCTTATATCATTAGAGGTTCAGCTACCCAGTATTATATGAAGTAATACAAATAAACCCCTCTTTTAGCAAGTGCAACATTGAAGAGATGAGCAAAGTAATGCATCAATACTTACAATAATTGAAAATATATGGTGCTTAAATGGGCCAATCTTCATAATGAGTTATTTTACTTTTGGTACTTAAGTATATTTTGATGTTATTACTTATTTACTTTTACTGAAGTTTTCCAGAGTATTCCTACACTGTGGTATTTCTACTTTTGCTTAATTTTAAGATAAGAGTACCACCGGCACCTCTGGTTAAATATCTAATTGACGTTTAATGAATTCTTCCTGCTTTTATCAAGGGTTGCTCGTGTTAAAAGCACTGTGTTGATTAATTCAGGTTTCATACCAAGTTATGTGCACTTTGTGTTTCCAATCTATAGAAGTCATATATTTTACTTTCTTTTTCACAGCCAGGAAATTATCAGAATGTTACTTTTTAATATTGTATGAAGTGTTTTAGCTGCATGTTTTGAAGTACAGTAGTTTCAAGCATTGCTCACATGCAATAATCGTTCATTAGATATTTTCCAATGACTGCCTAATTGTTTAACCTGCTGCTTTTCTTCCTTTCACAGTGTTTTAAGGGAATGCAAGAATGTGGAGCTGTCGTTCAGCGATGTCAACTGCAAGACAGACCTGCTTAAAGGGACCAAAAAGGGCACCGTTTATCTCACACCATACAGGGTACAACCAGAAATACATTAAATACATGTCATATGTTTTGCTGCTGTTTTCTTGAATGGAAAGTGGGCATCGTGCTGTAACTCTCCTCACCTGATCTCTCGTCTCTTCCTTTGTGTAGCTGCTGTTTGTGTCCAGTAATACCAAGGATTGCATGGGGTCAGCCATGTTCCCCTATTATCTGATGAAGGGCTGCAGCATTGAGCAGCCAGTCTTTAATGCAAACTACATTAAAGGGACGGTATCTGCTGAGGCTGGTGGTAAGTGAACTTTGATTTTCACTCAATCACTCAAATATGATCTGATTTCTGTCATGAATTGAATTGTCCTATCGGTTTTGTCTAAGGGCGCGTTCACACGTGCCTTGTATAGTCCGGTTGAATCGAACCCTGGTCCGTTTAGCCGCTTGGTGCGGTTTGTTTGGGTTGGTGTGAACACAGTCCGAGACCTCTGAAGTGAACTAAACAACCGGACTCTGGCCCGCTAAAATAGGTGGTCTCGGAGCGCTTGCTTGTGAACTCTGGAGCGGTTCATCGCTGGTGTGAACGCAGTCCGCACCGAAACATAGGAAGCGTAGTATTTACGTGTCACAAGAACGCGTCTTCAAAATCGTTAGCGAAAGAGTGAAGCAGAATGAAGTGTTGAACAGTGTCGTGTAAAGTAAAAACAACTATCAAACTAAAAACTATACATAAAAGTCAGAGCCGCCTGCCGTCGGTGAAACCTCCTCCTGACTGCAGAACGTCTCTCATTATATGTGTTATAATGTTTTGTATCGCACGTTGTCTGATTATATAATCATATGCGCCGTTGCTGTTGATATGCTCTCCAGATTAACAGCAGCCTGAAAATAACCTGCCGATGCTCCATGGCGGAGGCTCCGGTAGAAATTGCCGGGATTTGCGTTTTTACCCCCTTAATGTCTGACCAATGGTTGAACAGCATGACTTGTGTTTAAAGTTTATAGTCCATTTGAGTTTTGCCCGTGTGAACGCAAACCGAACCTTCTGAAAAATGAAACGATGTAACAAACTGTGGCTGCGACCGGACTATTAGGTGTGAATGCGACCTAAATGTATGATTGCTGCTTTTTTTAATATTTATTGATGTACAGCACTTTGGTCAACTCTGTTGTTTTTAAATGTGCTATATAAATAAAGTTGGATTGGATGAATGGTCGGACTGAAGCTTTCTGTATTTTCTATTAAAAGTTGTTGTGTCTCCTCAGGTGGCTGGGAGGGCCAGGCCAGCTTCAAGATGTCATTCCCCAGCGGAGGGCCATAGAGGTGGGCAGCATCTCTTCAAACTGGCCACTAATGGTTTGTATAATACTTTCTCTAATGTTTTAAAATGCTTAATATTCCTTTACTTCTCCTACAAGGGTTTCAGGCTATATCTATGATTGAAGGTGCTGACAGTCAGACAACCAAAACATTGCTATCAGTGTTTTCCCCACTGTACCTGACCGACTAGCATTAACTCGTATCTGCCCTTACCCAATCTTTGTATTTCTCATCCCCTCATCCACCAGCTCAACTTGAATTTTAACGCAAAAAGCAAATGTAGAAAAAACATGGGCGTCTTATTGTTCTCTGTCTGATTCATTATTATGACTTAAATCAATTTGTGTAAAGCGGAACAATGCGGTAAAATGTAGGTTATTAAAAAAAATATTCTGGGTAAAATACAGGTGACATTATTCCTGCTCTAAAACTAGCCAAACAATATAATTGTAACTTGGACATTTGCTATAAAAATATTTGTTGTCAATTGATCTAATTATCATGAGTTTAGCCTTAGCACTTCCTGGTTATGTTGTACAGTCTCAAAAGCTGCAGCTTGATTGGCTGTCTTGGCGTGAACACCCTTTAAATTGTTTTAAATGTTTACTTCCTACGATCTGACTCACAGCTTGTTCCCCATGGTAGGAATCCCATCATGCTTTGGTCATGAAATAAGTCTCTTCCTTCACACAATGAATGGCAGCTCTGTTAACCGATAAAACCCACACTCGTTGGTATCCCTGTGTATTTGTTGCGTAACACCTTTTCTCCTCCCGTGTTTCAGCTTCTCGCGCGGCCCCTGCACAAAACGGTGCCGCCTCCTTCGGCTATCCTTCTCCTGGCACGATGAACGGCTACGGCCCAGCTCCTCCCGCTCCCCCCGCTCCCCAGGGGTACACCTACACACCCTCTCCCCAGCAGAATGGGTTCTACCAGGGCCCCCCCCCTCCAGCTGCCAACATGGGCTACCCCATGCCGATGCCTGCTACAGGTACACAATTCAGTCCTCCTTTGTAGTATGATGTTTGAACAGCTTGTGTGCATAACTTAAATAATATGAACTCAAGGTCTACTCACTAGTTTTTTGTTTAGTTCTTGTTCTAGTTCTTTCACTCTCACAATGAATACCTTTTTAATTGGTGCTGCAACAATTCATCTTGATTAATTGTTTGGTATACAACATGTCAGATAAAAGAAAGTCCATCCCAGTTCCTCAAAAATCCAGCTGATGTCTTAAAATGTCTTGTTTTGTCAGACCAAAACATAACATATTAACTCAATGTCAAATAAAGCAGAGACAATCAGGAAATCTCAATATTTGAGTTACTAAAAAAACAAATGTAGTGAAATTTTGCATTAAAAATTAGTTTGATCATTATCAAAATATCTGGCTAAATTGTTATGTCAATCAAAAATGGCTGCAGCTCTAATTTGAATAAACAGTATTGTGTTTTTCTTGCTGTAAAATCACCTCTTCGTTTGAACCTAGAACGAGCCCTTCATAAAAATACCAATAATAATAGTTTGCCATATGTCCGATTATTGTTGCAACCGTTCCTATAATGTAGAACATTCCAGTATACCCATAGTTTCTTTTAGCCCTAAGTCTCCTCCACACATATTTTTACATTCCTTTATTCAATTTCTGTGTCCAATGTCCTCGTAAAACCCCCGGCTCGAGGCCCTGTTGTTTTTGACTCATTTCCCCAAACAGACTGTAACCTTCTTTGTCTTTCAAACTCCATCCCTTTCTCTTCTCTCTCTCTGTGTTTCAGGAATGTACCCGGCTAGTTTTGACTACATGGCCCCGCCTCCCCCGTACCCTGGGCCTCCCCAAAACTGGGCTGCTGCCCCCCCCCAGAACTGGGCCGCAGCACCACAAGCACCTCAAGGTCTCCTACCATCTCCTTCTCTGTTTATTTCTGAATGTATGATCTCTGTGTGTCCGTGTCACTGCACCCGTCAGATTGGATCCGTCTGCCTCAAAGTGAATCACTTCGTAGCACACCACCTAAAAAGGGGTGCTGATGTCTCATCCGTTACACGTCAAAACTCCAGATTTAAACTCTACCTCTCCTTGGCCCACTTAGTTCCCCCGCACCTTGCTGAAGTCAGGCTCCCCCTGCATTGGGATGGGCTTAATACACTCTGTCAGTTTGGCGTATCTGTATTTTAAGAAGAGCTGGAGTTCTCGGGGTTTGCCTGCAGGCTTTTGTCGAAATGATTCCTGGAGCTTTTTTGTGCTTCACATGACTAATGCGCCCCTCGCAGTGTTTTGGAGCCGCAGCGTCTGTTCCTAAATACGTCCAGTAGTCATCGCTGTCCGTCCTAATCTCCCCGTCTTTGTCACTTCTCATTTTCTGCACAGGTAACTCCAAGGCGGCTGAAGCTGCGGGCTCTGCGTACTACAACCCTAGCAACCCTCACAATGTCTACATGCCCATGGTAAGTTGTTCTCTTGTTTTCTGCTCAGTTCAAAGTTGTGTAGAAAAGAAAAAACTAATAGTAACTATCATGAGGTCATGGAAAGATGTGAAGGAGAATTCATCAGGACTTAGGAAAACAGACTTGACACTAGGCAACAAAATGGTGATTCACCAGTCGATGTTATTGATGTGCGTCTGCTTTGGCCAAAACTACAATTTTCCGTAGTTCGACTACTAGAAGTGTATCTCTAAATACTTCGCCCTTTCAGTCTTCATTTATAAAACATTTATTCAGGGAACCATTACCCCTTGACTTTCCCATGTTGCTTTAATTGGGGCTTTATAAACACGGACAGAAACATTCAGTTTATTACCATGGTTATTTCTTTCATGCTAGCTCTTATTGTTTTTACATAACTAACATGTGAAAACCGCTTGGAAACATCAACATGCCCATAAAAAGCCATTTATACAAATAACAAAACAAAAAAAATGTCAGTTCAGTTTACTGAGTCAGTTGTAGTTTGTAATCCTTGTTTCTTGTTCATTTCTCACATTTTTCTTCAACCTGACTCGATTACAAAGGTTTTTATACATTTGTAGGACGGCATTATCTCCTCTCCTTTCGTAAAGGAAGCTCCAGTGTATCCTACGCTAAAGGAGATAATAAAGGAAGCATCGAAGCTCCTTTCCTATCATCTAAAGAATTAAAACATGGCTGCCACGTTATGGCGCATTTCCACTGCAGGGCCTCGCACGGCTTAGTACGGTATAGTTAGGCCTTGGTAGGCCTGGCTCACTTTATGCTGCGTTTCCATTACAGTTTAGGAACTGGGGTAGTAACTATAGTAACGCAGTGTAGCTCACAGCTCCTCATATCTGTTCAGAAACTAGACAAAAGTGAAACAAGTACAAACCACAGCCTGTCTGTGTCATGGGAATACAGTCGAGGTTTCCGGTATCAGTATGTTGTTACTTCGGCATATTTTGAAACGTTAAGTAGAAGTACCAGAGTGTAGGAATACTCTGTTACAGTAAAAGTCCTGCATTCAAAATGTTCCTCAAGTGAAAGTAGAAAAGTATTCTCATCAAAATATANTAAAAAATACATGGATAAAAGTTACAGTGCAGTTTAAGATGTGAATAGTTCAATTAAAAGCAGCTACAAAAAGAAAAGTCTTCAGCCTGGATTTAAAAGTAGTAAGAGTTGCAGTGAACCTGCAGGTTTTCATACTGAGAATTATAACAACATTAGTTGTAGTAACAGTTTGTGCTTTAACTTACAACGACCCCTGATAGATCTCGCGAGAATGTGTATAAATATATATATATATATATAGGCCAATTGTTGGAGTTGCTATAGCAACTATCTAGCTAACTAACTAGCACTATAGCAAGCTACCCCCTGGCCCCTGGGTGGCAGTCAGTCTGGCTCCACCAGAAAAAACACGAACCAGAAATATTTCTTTCTAAAACCACAAAACATTTCAAGAAACTAAATCATCTTTAACATTTAACTAAACACTTAAACATCTGAAAAAACATTAAAAGTTTTCAAAAAACACTAATATATTTAATTAAAAATAAAATAAAAATTACATTAAAAAAAGAGGCATTGAAACTTCACTGTTTTATATTGTTTTTTTTATGTTTAGATTATACGTATGTTTCTCCTCACTTATGGCGCATTTACACTGCAGGCCTCGCTCGGCCTCGCTCGGTTTGGTTAGGCCTTATTAGGCCCGGCTCACTTTAATGCTGCGCTCACATTACAGTTTAGGAACTGGGGCAGTATCTATTGTAACGTCATCTTCAATGAGCGCCCCAGAAAAACAACACAGCCGTTAGCCGTTAGCCCTCAGAGCTCACAGCTCTTCATATCTGTTCAGAAACTAGACAAAAGTTAAACATGTACAAACCACAAACTGTCTGTGTCATGGAGAATACAGTCTCTGGTTTATTTATGTCTGTAGGCCGTTGTTGTGAGTGTGGACGGTCGGAGCATATACTGCGTTAGCTTAGCCGATCTCCATTCAGAAAACACTCATTTTAGGTTTTTCACCTGCCGTCTGTCTGCAGACTTGTCAAAGCATTAATTCATGGTTTTTACTAACCGGTATCAGTATGTTGTTACTTCGGCATCATTTTGAAACGTGTATTACAATTAAATCACGGTCAAATATGTTCATTGTGTTGTAGTTGTAGCCCCCTAGCCAGCGATTCTCTCTCTAGTTTAGCATACTCAGCCTGGTTGTTGGCCCGGAAAGAACCTGGATGTTGGAGGGCCAGAAAAACTGTGAAAAGGTACCCATTAGCCGGAACTACCCCTAGTGGAAACCCAACACGGTGCTACGCGCTGATGTGAAAATGCGCCAAGATACCCTGAAATGTCTCTCCGTTGAGAAAAACTCTATTCAACCGCATCCTAACCGTTTCCTTTCCCTCACAGGAGCGACCTCCACCATACGCACCTTACCCAAACTCTCCTGAGAAGAAAAGCAACTGAAACAACATCACTTCAACCACACTCCTCCTCTTCCTCTTCCTCTGTATCTGAAACAAACCCTAAAGCACGGATGATGGATACTCAGAAAAGAAAAAGCAAGTTAACAGACGGTTCAAAGATGTCAGCGATAATCCACTAACGACATTTTACAAAATCAATCACATCTTTAAATACCAATTTACTTAAGTTCATGTAAAATGATTGACAACTTGTAACCATAGCTAAACTCATTAACATTCTCAATGATGGGGTTTACTTCTGTCTAATTCTCTAGCATGTGGGGAAGAGCGGAAAACAGAGTGCATTATGGGGAATGTATTTTTTAAAACGGATTTATTACCAAAACATTTTCTAGCAATTTCTGGATTGCGGTTCCTGTAGTTATTAACAATAGCAACTATTATTATTATTATTATTATTATTATCAAATAAGTATTTTGCAGTATTATTGTAGGTACAGTGTGTTTCCTATACAGTTATGCGTCAAAATACAATATAAATATGTGTTAAGTGATATGATTGATTCCCATACTGTGACTAAATGTGATCCTGCACTATATCACAGTCCAAATAATTCCATTAATTCTCAATTTAATATATGAAGTAGAGGTTTTTGTTGTGAAAAGGAACAGTGCATTGTTGGGAAAAAGGGGGATCCTTTTACATAACAAGTCTATGTATGTGCAATATATTTCAAACTCTCATAACGGGGTCAGAAACGTCAGAAACCAGAACTGTCTTTGTGTAATGACACTAGTGTGAGGTTACAGGGCCCATAGGCTCGCTGTTTGAACCTCTGAATGCAACCCATTAACTCTGGATCGAAGTGTAATCCCTCTCATTGAACATCAGTATACAGCTGTTTTATTTGCACACAGTTGAAGTGGATTTGTCTTGTTTTAGTTTGCTTGAATTAACCAAATGTGTGTATATTAATATCTCTTTTGCAGTTATTTTTTCCCTTCTGCTGAATTTTGTCTGTCGATTTAAATCTAATAAATAAATCATTTATTGAATTCTGCTATTTTTGTCATTTATCGGACAGTCTTCAAACGCTGACATTTGTATATATAATATTACTAGTGTTTTACCTTTTTTATTTTGACATACTTGTGCTTTATTCGAGTATTTTCTCTTTTATGATGACATATACTTCCACTCCACTACATTCATTTACCACACTTAGTTACTAGCTGCTCTTTACATATAAAAACACGCTTTTATGATATAATGCACTACGGTATTATTGAATTACCCAGCCATTACCCCGGATCAACATGACAAACTACAACATGACAAACTATAACATTAAACGATACCACACCACTCCGCTCCTCCGCTCCCTTCACTGGCTTCCAGTAACTGCTAGAATCCACTTGAAGACACTGGTACTTGCGTACCATGCTGCGAATGGATCTGGCCCTTCCTACATCCAGGACATGGTTAAACCGTACACCCCAGCACGTGCACTCCGCTCTGCATCAGCCAAACAGCTCGCTGCACCCGCACTGCGAGGGGGACCCAAGTTCCCATCAGCAAAAACACGTGGGTTTGCTATCCTGGCTCCAAAATGGTGGAATGAGCTCCCCATTGAAATCAGGACAGCAGAAAGCTTACACATCTTCCGGAGCAGACTGAAAACTCATCTCTTTAGATGGACTTGCTAGTCGTCCTCTCCCTGAGAAATTTCATCTCCTGTGATGGTATGACTAGTATGTGGACTTGTAGTCGTCCTCTCCTGAGAATTTATCTCCTGTGATGTATCACTATATGTGGACTTGTAGTCGTCCTTCCTGAGAAATTTCATCTTGTAGATAGTATGACTATATGTGGACTTGTAGCCGTCCTCTCCTGAGAAATTTCATGTCTGTGCTGTATGACTATACTTGGACCTTTAATTCGTATTATCCGTGGGGGGGAATTGTCCATATATTTATATTAAGATAATAAGACAAAATAGGTGGCTATTTATGTACACCATAATGTAATGTAAATGTAAATCGACTGCGAAAATAGGTTTCGCTCGAATGTTATTTACGTAAAGCTGGTCCTTCTAGTTTGAACTTTTCTTTTGTCTAAGTATATTCATTAGTCCAAAGTATCTCGGTTTGTAAAGTTCACGATGAGTTGACCCGAAATTTATTCGGTCAGGGAATAATATATATTCAGAACAATCAGTAAGATACGA